CACAGCCCAGGAGTTCCCTGTGTCCCACCTCCTTGCCAGTAGGAGTTATTGTCTATTCAGTTAGAGCCATGTAGGGTATGGGGGAAGGGGTATCCTCACTGTGATTAGAATTTGCATTTCCCTGATGGTTAATGGTGTTCCTCATCTTTTCATGTACTTATTCACCATTCATGTATCTACTTAGGTGAAATGTCTGTTCAAATTTTGCACCCATTTTAATCATGCGTGTGTGTGTGTGTGTGTGTTACAGAGAGACAGAGCGAAAGAGAGAGAGAGATGGCATTGTAAGAGCTCTTTATACATTCTGGATACAAAGCTTTAGTCAAGTACATGATTTGCAAATACTTTCTCCCAGCTTGCAGATTGTCTTTTTATTTTCTTGACAGTGTCTTTTGACGTGCCAAAGTTTTTAATTTTGATGATGCCTAAGTTATTGTTTTTTTCTTTCATGGATTGTTTCTGTAATAGTTCATCTAAGAAATCTGTGCCTAACCCAAGGTCATAAAGACCTTCTCTTTAAAAATTTCTTCCAACAAGTTTAATTTTTACATTTAGATTTATGGTACATTTTGAGTTAACTTTTGTGAATGATATAGAAAGAAACCTAAGTGTCTTTCTGCATGTCAATGTCCAATTGTACCGGGATATTTGTTGAAATGTGTATTATGTATTTATTCATTAAAATTGTACTTGTGTATATTGTATTCGTCCTTTTGTTTAACCGATGCATTCTATTAGCTCTTTTATTTATAATTTATGTCTTTTGGTATTTACAACACTTTTTATTTTTGTTCTAGAGGTTACTTTTGTACTCATATCTTTTTAAATGTCTTATTCAGATTTTCTTATACAAATTTTCACAATTTGTTTTGGTGTTTGTTTGGGGGTTTTTTTGTTTTTGTTTTTGTTTTTTTGGGGGGTTTTTTTTGGTGGTGGTAGGTTGTTTTTTTTTTTTTGGTTTGTTTTTTTTGAGAGATAGGGGTTTCGCTGTGTTAGCCAGGCTGTCTCGAACTCCTGATCTCAGGTGATCCGCCCACCTCAGCCTCCCAAAGTGCTGGGATTATAGGCATGAGCCACAGCCCTCGTTTTGTTTTAAGAGTATTCTACCTATCACTTATTGCCCATATGGCAATCAATGATCAATGGGTGTGTTCTTCTTTCTTCTGTCTTTTTTATCTCTCCACTTCATTTGCATCACACACACACACACACACACACACACACACACACACGAGAAAGAGAGAGCCCTAGATCCATCTTTGCAACATCATTTAAGCTTCTATCTACCTACAACTACTAGATACAAATATTCAGTATATAAAATACCAATAGTCTTTGTTCTGAAGTCTCCACAGTCATCTCTTGGCAATATAAATTTACTTTTGGTGTATTATTTATGAAAGCTCCTGCATGCTGCATGTTAAAACTACTGTTTGAATAGTCTGGACATTGGAGGGACTGCTTAGCCAGATATCAAGTCCTTGGTTCACATTTTCTTACTTGGAGTACTTTGAAAATTCTGCTATATTGTTGCTTTCATTTGTATGTGTTTTGAAATGTCTAAGTTTAGTCTATTTTTTTGTCCATTTTAAGTTGGTTTATCCAGTCATTTTGCTAGGGGGTGTACTGAAGTTAATGCTTCCAAGTCAGTTTTCCCCGGTACCCAGGGGTCCTTTTCAATATGTAAATTCAGATATTACTTCATTACTAAGCATCTTCCCCTAGATTACAATTTTAAATAGTAGCTCTGCCCACTGTTTTTGTTTTGTTTTGTTGTATCTGTCTTTATAGGTAAATCGAGTATTTTTCCCAATAATCCATTTCATCCACTTTCTCTTTGTATTTACTTTCTTGCTTTTTTCCTCATTTTCATTGTCTTGGTCTGTTTTCACCTTTTTTTCAATGTATTTTCATTGAAAATGTATATTTTCATTCTAATCTATTTTTATTGGATGCCTTGTAATTTGGACTTCATTGTTGATATGATTTTGTCTTTATTTTCCAGCTTCATCTCTCATTTCATTTTTCTTTTGTCTTTTTATACCCATTTCTGTTCTTAGTTTTTGAACTTCTGGTTGAGGATGTTCTGCAGACCTCTCCAGGCTGTTTAAGTGGGTCTAATTTTGAGTATAACATAATAGTTTTCTTCTGCTTTGTTACTGATTTTGTAAGGGGGATTTTACCAGCTAAATTGTTTGGAATCCCACCTTTTGTTTTCCTTTTTGGTAGATCTGTGTAGAGAAAGACTGTCTGTGCCTCTGCATTTATGTGGACCGGGCGAGCAATTTAGTTTGGTTCATGAGATATTTACTTCAAGACTACCCTTGCCGGCTTTCCGTCAGTGCGATAAAGTGTAGTTTCTTTACTGAATAGATCATTCTTTCTCTGTCTTCTTTGTCAATATTTTGGGAGGTGGCAGTGAGAAGAGGGAGTGCGTGTCCTTTGATTCTTTTTCTTACAGGACTCCCCGCTCCTTCTTTTGCTCTTCTCTGCGCAGCGTTCAGCACGCCGCCCCTTTTGGTTAACCCTTTCCACCTCCCAAGCATGACCTTTTCCAGGTTACGTCCTCACGTCCACCACACAGTTAAAGGCTCTTCTTTATAGTCAGTGCTTTGATCTGCCAGGAATGGCATTTTCATGCTTAAGGCGACTTCCTCTTTCCAGGGGTGGATTCAGATCCGTTTCCGACCTGAACCTGCTCTCCCTGTTCTGTGAGCTGCACTTACCCTGCAAACACCTGCAGAATGTGGGGACAGCACCTGCATTGTGCTGGAGGAATTTCTCATATTTGATCATTCTCTGTCTTTGAGTTACGCTGAAGATGCTGGTTTTGCATAGCTTTGTTATTCTCCCTCTTTATTTTATTTAGAAGAGATGTGCAAAGTTTCATATTTATGTAGTTGCCATTACCTCGACTACCCAAAATTCCCCAGTGAATTTATTCTTTAAACTCCAACTTACATTAGAAAAGACATATACGTACTTATTCAGTATGTATAAATGAATGCAAAACAATTAGAATAAATATTGCTGTATCATGTATCACCTACAGTCCCCCAACAGAACCCCCCTGTTGCATCCTCTTGGGGAGACACTGGCCGCACTTGTTCATTCCCATCCCTGACAACCTCCACCACTGCACTCACAGTTGATAAACCCAACATGTCTTTCCAGGCCTCTTCAGTGGCCACATCTTCCGTGAGCCTCTCCCGTGAGCCAACTGTGGCATCCTCCCCCCGCCCTTCAGTGGGGTTATCCTCAGAGGAGTTACTTCCCTTCTTCCTTGGTTACCACCATTTACCTGGTAGCCATAACTTTTCTTATCTATTTTTATTCTCATAGCACTGAGCACATAATAGGTACTCAATAAGTGCCCACTAAATCATTTTATTTCCTGCTGCTCTGGGCCATCAGGAAGAAGTGAATACTGGTAAATGCTCAAGATGACAAGTATAAATGATGTCACCATCCTAAGAGGATGATATCACTTCTACCAGCGGTTCTGGATTTTTCCAAACTTCTAGCACATTAATCTTAGTAGAAACTCAATAACTGTTTTTCAGATAAGGTGATAGAATGACAGAGAAGATAGGGAAGAAGATGGGGAGTCCTTCCCACTGCTGGAAATGTCCCCGATGCTGAAGGCAAGGGCTGCCACAGGCCATGCCACACACGTCAGCCTGGCCAGGACCTCCTATCCACAGACAACCTGGAAATGGAGTCATCTTTGACTCATGGTGGGCTGACCTACTGTGAGCTCTGGCAGGTTTGTGAGCATTAGGGATGGACTGAGTGAAAGCAAAAAGGTTCCTTGCAATGCAAGTTCCCCTGTGCTTACCAGAATCTGATCATGGGGAGATATTTCAAAGCCCCTTTTGAGAACACCCATGGGCAGCTGACTTTGGGGCCCAGTGCAGACATTCTGGCCAGAGAGACACCTTATGTTGTGCAGGGAGAACCCCAGAATTGCAGAGCTGGATGTGGTCTGAGTCAGCCTGTGCTCAGTCCCTCACCCTGGGGGTGATGGAGAGGAAGCCTGGACTAGGCTGTGCCCCCAAATCAGTCTTAAAGGCCAGCAGGTGCAAATCCCCACCTGCCTCTGTGAGGCCTTCAGCTTCTTCCCTTTGCCAGGTCCCTGTGCCTGTGACTCTGCGGTTTATGGGGCACTACCATCTTCCCATCAGGGAGCCAGGTGCACCTGGTACACCTGCAGAGGTGTGCAAATGGAGCCAGGTGGGCAGGCATGAGGGCCATGGATAGGCAGCATCACCTCCTGCGCCAGCATCCTACACCTGGGGTCCCCAGGGTGAGGGACCCAACTCACTTGATGCCACAGACACTTCTTATCCAGAAGTTTCTGATGACTTGAGAGATGGCTTGGCAAGGGAGAAGAGGCAGGGACAGAAGAAATGGGACTTCCACTGGAAAGAAAAAAACAGGACTCATTTTGGTTCCTTCTTCCATTTCAGTGGTTGATGTGGGGGTTTTCCCTGTAACTGGCACCATACTTTAAGTATAGAATAAGATGCAAGATCACCTAACTTATAATAATACATGTATTTCACATATTTACAGAACCCTTTTCGTAGAAACGAGAGGGATTTGCACTGAGGCTTAACACCTTCAGGGATACCCTGTAAGGATAACAGGACCTAAGGAAAAAATGGAAATTACCTAGAACCTGTTACCCTCCCCACAAAGAGGCTTCCAGGCACTGCTCTGAAGGGCACTTGTGACCAGTACAGTCACTCATGTGATGGTCAAGAGGGGTTGATTAAACTAAAAACAGGAAAAAACAAAAGAGCCGAAGCATCGTTAAATTCATGAAGTCCCATTTGCCTCTTAAGCTTTAGGTTGCATGTTTCCAACCCAACTCACGTGAATTCAAATCCAATCATCACTGCCATCAAATAGGGTTTACGAGCTGCCACCTGTGCTTCCCAGACACAGAGCCCAATGCTCAGGTGGTGCCTCCTCCCGGAGCCTGAGCCTTCACTTACCTTTTTGAGGATCTGTTCCATGTACTTGTGCTCCTCTTGAATGCCATCTCTGGATCTCACGAAACAGGGCACAGGCAAGCTGTTCATGGGCTTGACATAGGTAATTCCTTCATTGTTCCCTCTGGGGTTCCACTTGTCAACCTTAAACCCTCACAGAGGTCCAGGATCTGGCATCCAAGCTGGGGCCAAAGATGAACTTGAAGGGGTCATGGCCTGGGTGTGTTTGACAAGACACCATCAGGGTGCCGCAGGATGTCAGATCAATGGGGGTCCAGAAGGGCTCTCAAAACAAGAAACAGACTCTCTGAAGCAGGCACGTGTGGGTGACAGCACTCACGCCATCTCACGTGGACGGCTGGCTCCTGTGAGGCTGCCAAGCCAGGGGGCACCCACCATGCTGCCAGGGGCATCCTCAGTAAGACTCATGTGGACGTCCCCTGTAATTGGGCAAAGAAATGGAGCTGAGTGTCCCTCACCAAGCTGAAGGATTGAGGGCAAAGGTTAGCTCAATCATCCATAAAAGACAAAGGTTGGCATGACAACCAGCTGGTATCTGGGGAACCTCGCGGGCATCTCACCTCCGCAGACAAACAGTGGTTTCACTCCTCATGCATTGCACTGAAAGTGTTCAAAGAAAGGGGGACAGAGGAGGTCCCAGCAGGCGCCACCATCACCTAGGAGAGCTCCACTCCAGCAGGGGATCTGCGTGCACCTAATCGAGGGAGCTGCGCCCTGCTCACAAGCTTAGCAAGGTGCACAGCGAAAGCCAGGGTGCAGACTCGGGGGTGTCAAATCTGAGCCTGTCTATAGATTACGGTGGATTTTGATAGCATAACACCAAAAAAAAAAAAAAAAAAAAAAGGCAAGAATCACCATAGTTGGACTGAGATTTTAGCATCTCTCTCTTTCAATAGAGACTATTCACAGGAGCCATATGTATACGATTTGTGTCGCTAACACCTTCTCCTACTCTGGGGCTTGCATTTTACCCTCATAGTGGTCTCCTTTCATGACCAGAAGTTCTCAGTTATGACATAATCTAACTGGCAAATCTTGTCCTTGATGGATAGAACTTTATTTTTTTTTTTTCCTTTTGCCTTTCATGTTGAAGCTCACTGTGTGGCTGGCATTTGTTTATGTGGTGAGGCAAGGCTGACTTTTTCCCACATAGATATTCAGAGAACCCAGCGTTGTTTGATGGAAAAAAAAAATCTGTACCTGCTCCACCATTAAAATCAAATGTCCACATATGTATGGATTTATTCCTGGATTTCATTATGTTCCTTTTGTCTATCTAACACTATTGTAAATGGCAAAGACTTTTTCATTTTATTTTCTAATATTTGTTGGTAGTATCCAGAAAACAATTAACACTCAATTCAGTGTCCTTACTGAACCACTATCTGTATTAGTCAAGGTTCTCTAGAGGAACAGGACAAACAATATGGATGAATATATGAAGGGGAGTTCATTAAGGAGTATTGACTCACATGATCACAAAGTGAAGTCCCACAATGGGCTGTCTGCAAGTTGAAGATCCAGGAAGCCAGTTCGCCCCAAAACCTCACAAGTAGGGAAGCTGACAGTGCAGCCTTCAGTCTGTGGCCGAAGGCCTGAGAGCATCTGCCAGATCACTGGCGTAAGTCGAAGAGTCCAAAAGCTGAAGAACTTGGAGCTGATGTTCAAGGGCATGAAACATCCAACATGGGAGAAAGATGAAACCCGGAAGACTCAGCACATCTGTTCTTTCCAGCTTCTCCTGCCTGCTTTATTCCAGCCATGCTGGCAGCTGATTAGATGGTGCCCACCCAGACTGAGGGTGTGTCTGCCTCTCCCAGTCCACTGACTCAAATATTAATCTCCTCTGGCAACACCCTCACAGACACACCCAGGAACAATACTTGGCATCCTTCAATCCAATCAAGTTGACACTCACATTAACCATCCCACTATCTTAAATCTAATAATTTCCCCATCGATTACTTGAAGTGTTTTGTATACACTCCAGATAATATTCACATAATGACAGTTTTATTTCTTGCAACTATGATGTTATTTTTAAGTTTTTCCCTATTGCACTGGTTATGAATTCTAGCATAATGTTAAATGGAAATGGTATTTTAAAAAAGAACATTCTTGTTTGCTTCCAGTCTTAGGGGAAAATATTTGAATATTTCACTATTTAATATGATGTTCTATGTGACCATCAGGTTAAATTCTATATCTTTACTTCCTTATTTTCTAAGAGTTTTTATCAAAGGCTTTTCCCTCATCTACTGAAATGTCGTGAGTTGTCTTTTTTGTTCTGGTCCCTTGGTGACTTACACTGATTGACTTTCAAATGTTAAATCAATCCTGTATTCCAAAATAAATGTGAGTTGGATGTCATGTATGATCACTTTATTCATTGCTAGACTTGGTTAGCTAATGTTTTGCTGAGGATTTTAAAATCTACATTTGTGAGTGACATCAAACTCAATTTTTATTTTCTTGTAATGTCTTTGTCAAATTTCCACTTACACGTTATTTGACTCTTATGAAAGAAATTGGAATCTGTAGCTTCTTTTTTTGTTCTCTTGGGTGGGATTGGAGTAATTTATTCCATCAGAGTTTGATAGGATCTGCTGTTGAAACCTTTTGAACATGAAGTGTATTTTGTGTGTGTGTGTGTGTGTGTGTATAAAAATATAAATTTGTCATATTTAATTCTGCAAAGAATACTCAAAGATTTTATTTTCCCATGGGTCTGTTTTTCTATTTGTTTCCAGGAATTTAATAATTTTATCCCAATGTTCAAATTTATCTCTGTGAAATTTCTCCCAGGGATTGGTCACCTGTGATCCGTGTGGTGGCTACAGGGTCCGTGACACTAACCCCTTTGCAGTCCTGAATTCTCGTGGTACCAGGCAGGGATTTGCCCCTTTTCAAAGATTCCACTTTTGCTTCATTAAATCTCTGTACTGTATATTTATTTTATATTACACTAATTTATACTCATAATTATTTCCAGCCTTCTACTTTCTTAGGGTTTAATTTGCTTCTGTAGGTGGATTTTTTAATGATTAATTATTAGCTTTTTTCCTAATATGTGCATTTATTTCCTTCTAATTAGGACACATTAGCTCCATTAGTCACCCTCCAACTTGTATACTATTGAGTTTATGTATTTTAGGACTCTATACTTGTTAAAACCCATTAAACATTATTATTATATTCTTTTAAATATACCCACATAGTTACTTTTCTCTTTGTTCTTAGTTCCTCTCTGTATCACTCAACTTCCATCTGGGATCATTGCTCTTCTGCCTGCATAATAACTGTTTCTATTACTGTTATCTGTGCTGATATTTTTCTTTGTCTCAAAAATCTTAATTTGTCTTCATTTTTGAAAAATATTGTTACAGCATGCAGAATTCTAGATAAGCAGTTATTTTCCTTCAACACTTTAAACATATATTTTTGTTGCTGCCTGTGTTTCACCATTTTCGTTAAAATGTCAGCTATCAATCTTGTTTTTCTGAACGTAAGAAGTGGGTTGTTTTTGTTTGTTGTTTTGTCTCCTTTTAAGAATTTCTCTTTGTCTTTGATTTCAGCAGTTTTGCTATACTTTGCTTACTGCAGTTTTCTTAGTATTTACCCCAGGTTTTATAGTATTCCTTACATTTGTCATTTAGTGTCTTTTGTTATTCTCACTTTTTGCCTTCTGAGCCCCAATTTTATGTATTCAGCTGGGCTATGAGGAATTATCTGTACTCATTAATTGTTTTTTATAAAATTCATATCACTCATCCTAATATTACCACTTTTCTGTTTTCCATTTTTTATCCATTTATCTCTCAGTGACTGAATTTTGGATATGTTCTTCTGACATATCTTCAGGGTTACCGATTCTCCCTTTGACTTATCTGATCTGTTGTTAAACTCAGCTACTGAATGGTTAATTTCTATAATTGTACTTTTCAGTTACAGAATTAGCATTTTGGGTTTTTTTATAGTTCCCGATTCTTTGTCAATTTCTTCTATCTTAATTTTTATTTACATAAATATATTAGGCATTGCTGTTACAAAGTTTTTGTCTGAAAACTCCACAGTTTCATGTCAATAATCCTATCTTCTGGATACTGTGTAGATCTGTTTTGTTTGCTTATGTTCTTTTGATTTTTGGTTATGCTTTCTTTCCTCATATGTCTAGCTGTTTTCTTTTAATGAAATGGAAAACTTTCATATGAAAAACAGTGGGGATAATTTGAGGATTTGAGTGGTGTATCTTCCTTTAGAAATTATTCATCTTTTCTTTTAGTTAGCTAAACTAGGGGAACAAGTCATCCCTGATGGCCTTAATCCAATCACGGACTGAAGTGATTTTAAGCTAGTCTGTATTGGCACCTCTGTTTCTTGTTTATCCTTTTCTTATTTTTTTCTGGAATTATAAATCTTTAAGGTCCCAAACCAAAGCCTGAGGGTTGCTGGTATATTTGAAAGTTGACGTACAATCTTATTATTTACTTCCTATCTTCTAACTCTTCTATGCTCTCTTATCTCTTTTCTTGCCATCTTTTAGATTTTTTTTATTTTTCCATTTGCTATCTCTATCAGCGTGATAGTTGCACATGCTTTTACTACTCTTTTCATGCTTCTCCTAGAGATTACGAAGTGCATCTTTTAGTTATCAAAATTTTACTTCATGTTCTGTCTTCCTAGTCCTCCGTGCCTGCAGAGAACTTGCTTTGCTTCTCAGCCTATAGGCCATCGTTTTCAAAAACTGCAAACATCTCTAGGGTGAAACCCACCCCAAATAACAGGCTCCTCTATATGCTCCTCTCCTTTCCTAGATCTTGATAACTCTCCAATACTTTCCAACAGATTTTTATGTTCTTTGGTAGAACATAAAAATGTTCTTTGTTTGGTAGAACAAAGAACATAAAAGGTGTAGAAACCTGGTAGTTATTTGATTGTTGTTTCGATGGTCTCCAATTTTTTGAGTTTTCAAACACAATAGAGAATATGTATCATTGGGACTTTGGACCTGCCTAATAACGTCAACGATTTATGAAGTTCTCACTGCGTGCTCAACATTGGTCTAAGTACTTACACGTGCTGTTTCACCTAATCCTCATGATTGGCCTTTGATTTGGGCCATTGTTAGAACCTCACTTCCCAGGAAAGAAATCGAAAACACAGAGGTGAACCAAAGCAAAGCCTGGCAGAGGCCAGGGCCACAGCTGTGAAGTGGCAGGTGAGCCTGCAGAGCCTGAGCCTGACCTTAGAGTGGCATCTCTTAGCCCCTACGCCAGTTTACTGGAAAATGGTTAAGCATTTTTGAAAAACCACGGATTCTAGAGAGTTAAGGGGAGAAGTAGGTGGTAATGTGTGGTTAAGAGACTTGAACCTATGCACCTGTCGAGAGGAAGAGCCAGAACCCAGGGAGAGGAAGTGTGTTCTGTGTAGCCTCAAACTGGAGCAATAAAGACTTTAACATGAATGAGCCTTTTCTAATTGTGCTAAAACTCCAAATTATAGAAATACCACTGAGGGGTTCCATGGGCACACTTTACTCAACTGGGTTTAATTGTAACAATATTTTTACAAAAGAAATATGCAAATCCCCCCAACAACAAAACTGCATGGCCTTGGGGTAAACTTGACAGACTGTTACCCAAGTGGCTACCTTGTCTGGGGTAAATACCTGGGGTTCATCCTCTCGTGCCAGGAAAATTTAGGACACGGACACACACGAGGAGTTTAGGAGCAAGAAAAAGAGAAAGGAAACAGCTCTCTCTGGAGAGCGAGAGAGGGAACTTCCCAGAGGAATAGGCCAGCAGGTGGATGCGCTGGATTTTTCTAGTCCAGCTTGAAGAGGCGGTGTCTGATTTACGTGGGGCTCACAGATTGGTTCGATCACGTATGACGTTTAGGTAGCGCTCGGGGAAGACTGGCCGCCCCACCCAGATCTTATTACGCAAATGAACTTTCCCCTTGGCCGGCGCCATCTTGTCTGCTCCTCACTGTACAGCTGCCTGACAGAAGGGAAGATGGAGCCGCCATTTTGAACATGATTGGCACAACTGCCCGCATCTATGCCACAGCTTGATTTTACAGGCTGCTCTTTGTTAGAAAGGAAAATGATTTGGGGCTGCTTTTCATTAAAAGGAAAGCCTTACCGAGGACTTCCCTACCCTCACTATCTGCCTAAGTCATTTCTTCTTAACTCCTGTATCATTGCTCTCATCCGTTACCCAAGAAGGAGGAAAAAGAGTCACATGATGACGGGGAGCCAGCAGGAAGGACCAGAATTAAAGGCAAAGACTGTACAACATCTGGCAGGGCTGTGCCTCCTCAGCCAGTGATGCCACCACGGTCATGTGGCAGATGCCTGTGGGCTCTCTTCCCATGGACGACCAGCAGCAGCGGACTTCCTGGTGGGTACACTCCTGAGGCTGGGCAGCTCTCTCTTTTCCAACCTTGAATATAAACCTATGTGCAGAGGAGCGATGCACTGTGCCAGCAGGAACCCATTTCAGTGTAGGAGAGACCTGCTCTTCATCTTCCAGGTTCGCATGTCACTGAAATGCCTCGGGTACCAAGGCGGGGGTACGGCCAGTGAGTCTGTAAAATGGCATTAGCACGGAAACCCCCACAGCCGTCCTGAACATCCCCGTTTCAAATTTCCCTGCAAGTGTCATACATGGAGATTGAATTCAGCATTTTTACCTCGATGAACAATTGGAAAATGAATTCTATTATCTTTCCATAGAAAATACAGATGTTCGAGTCCCTTGGCCACTTTTCAGCTACCCAAGCTCCTGTGACAATGGCGTGGTGATATATTCCTGCAGCCTGGGGGAAGCCTGCAGTCACAGGGAACTCAGCAAGGCGATGAACGGAGCCCTGGCCTCCCCCACCAGCAGAGCCAACTCCCCACAACCTAGGAACCCGCCTTCAAGAAGAATCCAAAATCCACCATGGTCTGGGCACATTGTCTCTGGGGTAGAGAAAAGGAACAGGTCACAAGGAGAGATGATTTCAAGGACGCATCATTTGGCACACCCACTTGCATCCAGCATACATTTAATTTCCCTTATTTTGTTGTTGACGTCCACGAGGGCTTCCTGTTCTACGATCTCTGACCCACGGTAGTTTGAGTGACTACTTTGGGAAAATTATACCCCAGTCCTGATGTTTGTTCTTGTACAAACACCCATAGTTATCCCGGATACACATGTAAAACTCGGAGGTTCGAGGGAGCTCAGCCATTTGAATTGCTAATAGTTCCTATGCCTCTGTTCCTACCGTGGCGGGCAGGGTTATTCCACCACCTGCTGTGTGCTGCCCTCAGCTAAGAACAGAACGTGGTGCTGCTGTTCAAATAAAAGAAGTGCTGCATTGAAACCAAAAATGAGAATAATCAGCATAGGAGTCTGGATTTAAGCAAACGCTGGTATGTTTTTTATCCTCCAATGCAGTCAAGCAAGATCGCCAACACAATTAAGCAGCTGTTTAAGAGAAAGCAACAAAAAAGAAATCCACTTGCAACCAGAAAATAAAATGGGCCGTTCTTCACACTTTATTCCTGTTATAATTGTTCATTTTCAGCAGGCCCTTAGAAGACTATTTTAAGAAGAGATTTCATCCAGTATGGTCAGAGAGCAGTGCTTCTCCACCGCTTTCCAGGCTAAAAGTTGGCTTTTATTTTAAACAACACTCAGGGAAACTGCTATGTGACTAGGACGATGGTGGCCAATGCAAGTGGTGGCACCCACCTCCCCTGTGTGCAGTGGGAAGAGCTGCTCTCCTTTCTCTGAGGGCACACAAGGACACAAGGGCTCAATTTCATAGGAGGAGGGTCTGTAAGGTGCTCCCCTTGTTTCTAAGAAGCCAACTTCCAAGGAGGAGGGAGCGGATGCCTGGGAACTGCAGATACGGCGACCTGCAGCCCTGGGTGCCACCCAGTCCCCAGAGCTGAGCTCCCAGACTATGCCAAGAGATATCAGAAGGCTTTGGTCCGGAAAGTCCTGCTTCTCTTTGTGCCACCTCCTGTCCCTCCCACATCGTCTGCCTCCCTTCCCCCACTCTGTCCTCTGGATCCTTCCCTTCCTTCTTTAATGGAGGAGAGGAAGGAGAGCCCTGCTGGCTTCCTGGAGGGAACGCTGACTCCTCCCGCCATTGGAATGAATTTGCTCCTCACCCTTGGACACTCTCCCCACCCCGCTCATGGAGAAAACTGCGGGCTGCTCCTGATCCGTGGGCCCAATTTGGTGCACAAGCCTTGTCAACTCACTTTTAACCCCACAGGTGTACAAGTCTGTGTTTATTAGCAATGCCCGTAGCTTCCACAAAAATAGCAGGGAACTTAGGGCAGTCTAAATGTGAATGTGGCCTGGGAGCTAAGTAGGATTTCACCTTCATCTTCCTCAGCCCAGAGAGTCCAATTTGTACCCATGGACCAGGCTGGCACCCACTCAATGCCAGCCAGCGAGAGAACCCACAACTGCAACTTGGCACCAGCCTCTCTCCAGGACAAGCACCTGAGCAGCTGGTTCCTGATGCAGGACAAGTTCCTGCATCCTGGATGCCGTGTCCTCCTCCGAGAAAGTGCAGTCCCGGGAGGAAGAGGAGAAGCCGCAGGTCAGGGGTTTGTAGGACAGGAAAGGCCGTGATCATCCCCATGCTGGTCCAGTCTCCACACCCCAAGCCTACTCTCGGGGGAGCCGCTTCTGGGATGAATGCATGAACACGGCCTCCACAGTGCCAGCCTGAACCCCCACCTCTTTAGACACAACTTTGCGTCCTGGTGAACATCTTCCCAGGGATCTGATCAGAAGCAATTATTTGGTTTTCCAGTTTTCCCAGGAGGAAGGTGGCCTACCAGGTTGGGACAGATCGATAGCATTCAAACACCAAGGACGATGAGCTCACTGCCCTCCAGGTCCTATCGCGTTCTGGGGACCTGAGCGGCTCGGGACGTGGAGCACACCTCCAGAACAGGAGAGTACATTCCAAACCCTTTTCTAACTGGCACTGAAGAGAGTGCGAGCCATTGCCAGCATTCTCTGTTCTGACATTCTCCGAAGTTTTTAGTAGTTACAAGATTCTTAATTTCATATAAAATATTTCAGAAAAATCAAATTGGCCCTTGTCAAGTGAATTTTGACTTTTAAAAAGGAGTCATATAATTATTCAAACCCTAAGTATCAGTACAGAGCTAGGAAAAATAACTTTAAAATACATACTGAATTTTTGGAAGGGCTGCTTACTCTCACCAGTATTTTAAAGTTATTTCTCCCCGAAGCATGAACAGAAATTTTATAAAATGCAAATGTCAGGACATCTGAACTCAATGAATTCTTTTCTATTACCCTAACATTCTCCACTTCTTTCCCTCAGCCTAGCCATCACTCTAATTAATAATTAAATAAAGTAGGACTCATCACTTGCTAAATGCAAGCTTTCACCTTGGCAGGAAGCTTATGTTACATCTAATGCATTAGAAGTTGAAAAAAAAATTCTTACAAAAAGCAGCAAATCATAACAGTTGCTAAATTTTCCCTGACAGGAAAAAATGCATTTTAAAGTAAGTGGGGCCAAATGCGGTGGCTCACACCTGTAATCCCAGCACTCAGGGAGGCCGAGGCGGGCAGATCACTTGAGATCAGGAGTTCGAGACCAACCTGGCCAACATGGCAAAAACCCATCTCTACTAAAAATACAAAAATTAGCCTGGTATGGTGGCAGATGCCTGTAATCCTAGCTACTGGGGAGGCTGAGGCAGGAGAATCACTTGAACCCGGGAAGCAGAGGTTTCCGTGAGCCGAGATAGTGCCACTGCACTCCAGCCTGGGTGACAAAGCAAGACTCCATCTCAACAAAATAAAAAATAGAAAATAAAATAAAGTAAGTGGTATATTTCCTTCCTTCTCCTTAACTTGAAATTTCCCTTGGTAAAACTCAGGAGAACAGAGCCCAATATGCCCATCCATCACGGATCAATCGACTTTCTGGAGGCATTTTTCTCCATGAGAAAAGACCCCCATTTGCTCTACTCATTTTGGATTTTTTTGCCTGACATAACACTCGTTTCCCAGGGACAAACTAAATAACCAAGTTCCATGAAGGCAGCGCACTGCCTTGACAAGGCAACAGAAAACGTTTTTGCACCAAAAGGCTGGCTTCATCCCTCAACAAGTGACATCTTAAAAGCAAAACTGGAGGACTCAGAAAGCTGTGTTTGCTCAAGAAAGAAAACCCAGTTCACTTATTCTATTAAGGTAATGAAGGAGGCATTTTATAATACAGAACTCTTGTTAGTTTTAACACCTGGTAAAACCTGACCCAACATGTCTGTCAGGAGAGGCTAGGGAGCAACGTGGAGACAAATAAGCTCGAAAGCACAGCGGCTTCCAACAGTGCAGTGTGCTCCTCACTCACCGCACACCCAGTGTGGTCAGCAGAGCAGCAGGAGCCGTGGGCGTGGGGCCTGGACGTCACTTTTACCAAACCGGTGGCCAGAGTTGGTCTCCTGGCCAAATCAACTTCACGGGCTGAGGAAGCTCAGTTCTGCTGGGCACCCCAAAGAAGGGCACCCTGGTGATATTGGGGAGCACTCATAATTGCACCTGAGTTGCTGCCATCTTTCCCAATTATGAGTCATAAAAACCTGACATTTAAGACATTTGAGTTATCAATGCTAACCACTCAATAATAGCATGGGGGAAGCTTTCACGAAACACCTGCCCAGACCCCTCCCAGGTCAACAAATTCCAAATCTCAGGGTGGAACCCAGCCATCTTTATCGTTTCAAAGCTCCAACGCTTTGATTTCAATACATAGTGGGTTTAAGAATCCCAGCAAGTGTCTTACAGCCTCCCCCATCCCGCACATGGCATAGGAGTGTCCATTCCTCCTTGTGATGACACCACCAAGCACAGCATCTCTGCAAGCTTCAGCTTGAAGCAGAGAGTGAACCAGCCAGCATCAGTGTCTCCAAACTTCAGTGTACAGAGAATCACCTGAAGTGTTGCTTAGAACCCCATGCTAGAGTGCCCCAGCACCCCCAGTTCCGATCCGTGGCAGCCAGTGGAATCCCCCAGCCCAGAAATCCACATTTTGGCAGATGCCCCACTTAAATACAGAGCTAAGGAGTTTTCGACCTCCCTGTGCTGACTCTGGACAGAATGCTTCTGTTCTAGTGGGTGGAAACTGCCTGAGAACAGCACCCAGCCTGAGGACTTCCAGTGGGTGCCCTGGCTCACACCATCATTCATTCAGCCGCGCACACCTGGACTTAGCAGGTACCAGCCAGGTGCCAGGTCGTAGACCAGGGAGGAGTCCCGGTGGCTTTTCTCCCCCAGCAGCCTCGTGGGTGCTGTGAGCCATTGCTCATACCAGGGTGCCAGCTAGTTCAGACCAAGGGGCTCAGTGGCAGCAGGGGTCCACTAGTCACCGGTTGTAGGCTTGGCCTCACTGCTGCCGTGAACTCCCCACTGTGACAGAGAACTCAGGACAGCAGAACCTCAGGGTCCACGGAGCTGTGCTCTGGCACAGGGACAACAAGTGGCATTTGCAGACAAAGAGTCTTTGCTCTTCTCACTGGCCATACCCCACTTTTTCCTTCCCACCTCAACACTGGGCACCAGCAAGCAGAGAGAAGAACAGCAGGTATTTCTGAGCCAAAGCCTGTCTGCACCACACGCAGCACACAGTAGACCCTGAACTCTGTCAGCAGCATCACTGCTGTGCTGTGGTCTGTAGGTGTGTCTTGAGCTGAGAGTTGCCAGAGGTGCCGAGGATACGCTGAGTACTGTCATTAAGCAGCCCCACCTCCTACCTCTTCCCAACAGGATGGCATTGCCCTCCTCAAGCCAGACTCTGGGCCCTAGTGCCACCAGGAGCCATGCGAGCAGCTGTAGCTCTAGTCCAAAGGACAGCTTGCACCACGCCTGCATCCACACTTGCCTGCCCAGGGCATCTGCAATTAGGGATGGGGCCTGGATTGGCAGAGTGTGTGCCCGTTCCCACAGACCGCTGGGTGGCCCAGCCCGGACAGTGCACGGGAGCTCATTGGGCAGCAGGAACCCCTGAGAGACAGTCTCACTTTATACTTCAGGGAATCAGTGGGGCTTCTGCCCTAACTCCACCTGTGCCCACAAAGTCAAGTCCACAGCAGGATCCCAATGTCATGCTAAGTCCATTTCCACACATCCCTTCTCCAGTCCCAACAACAGCTCTGCCAGGGAGCACCACACATCCAATGTGGACAGATGAGGAGGCCAGGACTCAGACAGGCTGCCCAGCCCCGGGTCACATGGCTGAGCAGCACCCAAGCCAAGATGTGAATGCTGGCCCAAAGCTGCCCTCTTCCCACAGTACTTCGTGGCCCCAGGAGCAGGTGCAAGGGGCTGAATGTCTGTGTCCCCAGCAGATTGATATGTTGAAACCTAACCCCTAAGGGGATGGCGTTACATGGTGGGGTTTTTAGGAGGTGATTAGGTCATGAGGGTGGGGCCTCAGGGATGGGACAGCGCCTTATAAAAGGGGCCCCAGGGAGCTCTCGCCCCAGCCTGTGAGGACGCAGCAAGAAGGTGGCTGCCTGCAACCCAGAAGAGCCCTCCCCAGAACCCAACCATGCTGGCATCCTGACCACAGACCTGCCTCCAGAACTGTGAGAAATACATCTCTGATGTTGAAACCACCCAGTCAGCAGGACTTCGTTACGGCAGCCCACGTGAACTGAGAAACCGCACTGATATTTTCCAGCTGGGTCTGCGTCTGCCTCTGCTTGGCACAGGCTGCTGTTCATCCGTCTCTGGCTAGATGGAATCACACTCAGACACACAGCAGCTGCCCTCACTCACAGCACTATGGTTAAAGTTGGCTCACAAGTATCATTTCTTTTCTTTTACCCATGCATTATTCCCCTCCTCAACCTCTTCTTCCCCAAAATAATGCAAAGTAATTCAATCAGATAATATACTGACAGTAATGCAGAATTGAGGAGGTCATAATCTGAAAGAGGAGAGAGATACCACCGTCCTAACCAGGGATGCCCAGTCTCTCTCCATGATTGTGAATCCAGCTGGACTCCGAATGTCCTGAAGGCCAGAGCAAGGAGGGAAATGAGTGAGGAGCAGAAAGCTCTTCAGAAAATAACCACAGGTGCGATGGCTCATGCCTATAATCCCAGCACTTTGGAAGGCCAAGGCAGGGGAATCAGCTGAGGTCAGGAGTTTTAGACCAGCCTGGCCACCATGGCAAAACCCTGTCTCTACTAAAAATACAAAAATTAGCTGGGCATGGTGGTGGGATCCTGTAGTCACAGCTATTTGGGAGGCTGAGACAGGAGGATCACTTGAACCCAGGAGGCGGAGGTTGCGGTGAGCTGAGATTGTGCCACTGCACTCCAGCCTGGGCAACAGAGTGAGACTCTGTCTCCAAAAAGAAAAGAACCACAGGGAAAGCGTTTCTTCCTGGTGCCTGCAGATTGTGAGTGAGCCCTGGACCGACTGCTTTTCTTCCTGTCAAAGGCATTTGCCCCTCCAGACATGAACGTGATTTGCCCCCAGTGACTGACAGATAAGGAAATAAAAGTGACCTGCAAAGACTCAGTTCTTCAAGCCCATTAGCACACTGTGGGTCACAGAGGGAACTGAACACAAAGGGGAACATGGGGAACCCAGAGCGTGGACAAACCGGCCCTGGCCCAGCACTCACACGAAGAGTCCACTCATTCCTGCCTGAATCACTGTCCGAGCACCTGTCAACAGGCACACACAGGCCTGAATCACTGTCTCCGAACACCTGTCAACAGGCACACACCGGGAGGGACACAACCTCTCTCTGTGCTTGTCTCCGCTCCCGCTGCGAGGGCAGGACACTAAAACATGACTGAGGAGACTCAAATCTGAGGCTTCAGGAAAATGGAGCAAACGGCTCCCTCTCTGATAGAAAATGCTGTTTTGGCCACAGAATCCAAGTAGTTTTTCCACATTTCATAGAGACCTGGGAACTGATTCCCTCAGTGACTTTGAAAATGACCCGTTATTGTGAAATGTTAGCCAAAATCTTGAGTGGAAATGTGTCCCCAGCATCCACCATTCCAGGAAGGAAGCGAAGTAGAGGGGACGTTGTCTGGGAACGGGGTCTGCTGAGCAGTCACTGTGGTGTGGGCAGCTGCTGCGGTCCCAGTCAGCTACTGCCTCGCAGACACCCACATGGCCTGATGGATAAACACACATGGACAGCGGGGAGCTGGATTAGCTGGAGTCACAGCAAGAGGACCTGGTCCCAGTGCTTTACAAAGGGCCCAAAGTGCTTTACAAACTGTCTATGTGGGTCTGCCCCTCCTACCAGTGGACACTGGGCACCTGTCCAGCATTTACAAAGCCCTCTCCGGCTCAATGTGACGATTGCTGAGGAAAGAAAGGCCCCATCTCACCACCACAGAGGCCTCGGGGGCATCCAGGCATGGCCCTTGGGGACGGGCTCATCAGCACCTGCTCCAAGTCCTCTCCTTGTTCCCACGGTCACAGAGAGGGCAAGACCACACACCCTGCCCCATGGACGACCAGTACCCTTCAACCGGAGCAAGTCCCGAGGATTCAACCCATTCCCGACCTCACCTGGCTTCTGGTTTCCTAACATCTTGCAGAGGGAAGAGAATAAGAGCTTCGGCTTGCTTCGTGGGACTGGTTTCCCATGCAGGAGACGGGAAAGCCAGAGGAAATGCTGGCCCCGGGGTCTGACCAGGAGCAGGAGAAGGGGGGAAGGGCTTTGTCACTCCTGGATCCCTCGGGCTTGCCAAATTTCAGGCCTAACCCGGAAGCCTTGAGTACGAGGCGAGGGAGAAATAAATCACCTGGGGGCCAACCCCTCCCTCCAAGCAGGGGTGGGGCAGGGGCTGCTGCCCAGGCCTTGTCCTCTGCTGACCCCACACCTGCCCCTGCTCAGAGTTGAGAGGAGCGTATGTGAACTCCGAGGAAAACCTCCACTTAGAGCCTAAGGCTTAACTAAGCCTGAGGATACTGTCAGCTGCTACAGCCCTTCCCGGAGACAGAGAGTCCCTGAGATGACTCTCGGACCCAGGCCTCCAGCCCTCCGCCCTCTCCCAGCTCTGATGCACCATCCCACCTGCTGCCTCACACCCAAAGGCGCGTCTGGGATGTTCACAGCCCACCAGTCCCAGGCGCTGCCTCTCCCCTCTGCCCTCGCTGGCACCTCCTGGTTTCTTCCTTCTGTAGAGTGTCACCCTCCACCTCGGGCCCTGTCAGACTCCCAGAGCCGCCCCCTACTTCTCTACCAGCCTTACCCACCTATGCAGGGGTTTGCCAAGTGCTACAGTCCTGCGAAGTACCCTTACCTGCTCCTTCCTTCTATCCCCAATTTCGGCAGCTCATCTGCTGCCCCAACCACGATGACGCTCCCAGCTCCACGTTTCGCTTCACTTCATCCGGCCCATACCTGCCAGAGCTTCCTAACGTCTTATGATTATCATCATCTCATCAGGCCCCCTTTCCTGTGAAAAATCTCCAGCCTGCCCGGCCTCTACCTGCCAGTCCCAGCAGGCCCTTATCTCAGTACAGTCCCAAGGAGATCTCCAGCTCTGGCAGCCGCCACGTGTAAATCCCACCCACCTCCTGTGAGCGGCAGGATGGCAGAACAGCTTCCCTGAGTGGCCCTCTCACAGGAAATACTTACAATGGTGCATGAGAACTCTGTCATTTTAGTGCTGGCTGCATACAGTATTCTGTGAAGACAAAAACAATATGTAAATGGAAGCCAGGGGAGGTAAGACCAGAGCTGGTCTTGCCCTGGGGTTTCTGCAGAGCCTTGGGAGCCTGGAGTTTCTCCTTTGCTGGCTGCACGGGACACACATGGGGGCAGCAGACAAAACCCAAGGACCACTGGGTAATCCCAAGGGAGGTTTCCATATTAAGCTAGAACTCAGAGGGCTGTGTCCACCTTTACATACAGCAAGCAATAACCCTTGCCGCACAGAAAACAAATAAATGTGCTTGTCTCAACTCTCACATGGGGGAAGGAGAAAAACTTTCCCAGAAAACCACAAGACAGTCCTCTTCCAGGTCTGCTGTCTGAATTCACTGTAGAATAGATCAAAAAACTTCAAACAGGAAATTTTAATTACTTCGGTGCCTAGTGGAAATGCCCCGGACAATAGGAAGAAGTAAGTGTGCAGCCTCTGGAGGAAATAAATCTCAACCCACCTCTCAAAGAAGTTCGTGGGTAGCGTTGAGGGAAAAGAGCAACCTGTCTCCTAAGTAAGAAAATAAATCGCGTGAGTGCAAAGCAACAGAAGCAGACATGCAGACGTTTATTATGATTGATATTTTAAAGAAATAAAAGAAGAAAGCTGTAAACAAGGAGCACAAATGATTTTTAAAAAAGAATTTCTAAAGATGAAAAATATGATGATTAAAATAAAAAGCTCAGTGATCTCCAGGTCCAGGAAGTTGGAACGGAGGCATCATTCCACCTGCCGAGTGTAACTAAAGACGCTGGATGTTGTTCTTGGAAACACACAGTTTCTGAAGGGTAAAGAAAAGACAGATGGATGAGGGACCCTGGGACCTGAAGAACAACAGAGTGGTGAGTTCTCAGGGCTTTCTTTCACTTTACATATCTCAGACTTCAGGTGGAAGCAGCCAGCAATCTGGAAATACCCACAGGTGCAGACAAAGAAAGCCCCAACTAAAGTTTGCTCCCTGCAAGCAGTAGATCAGGACAGAGGCAGCCTGGAAAGACAGAAAACTTTTAGGAGCTCCACTCTAGCTGACTATCACAGGAAAAAAATCTGTGTCACCCCTCCCCTACCCACCACCTCGGCCACTGATACTAGCCAAGGCCAAGTGGGGAGCCTGGACTTCCACTTTCACGTGGTTTGATGGAGGTGCCTCAACCTCCCCACTGCAAGACAGTGTCAGAGAAGACCTCATAGGGAGCTGGAACATTTATATCCAGAGGCAGAAGAAGGACCCCTTTAGGATATCCATGGAGCCCATAAGGGGAGCCTCAACCTTCACCCCACCCCGCAGGAACAAGACAGCCTCCCCTCCCCTTCTTGCTGTTTGGGATTTGGCAAAGCCCGAGGGATCCAGGAATGAGAAGGTCCTTCCCCACCCCCTCCTGCTCCTTGCTTGGGTGGTGTCAGAGGACACCTAGTGGGAAGTCAGGAATCTTACCAGCATCCAGTGGAAACAAGGCTGGCCCTCCTCCTCTGGGGCCACATGGGGAGAAGTAATGAGGAACTCCCACACTCCACACCCGAACTAAGCAGTCATCAGTGGGTGCCTAGTGGGGACTTGGAACTTCCACCCCAACCCACAGTCATGAGGCGCAGCCCCTTAGAAGCCAATGGAGCTCAAATAGGAAGCCTGGAGTTCCAGCCTCACCTGGCAATAACAGGACAGCAGCCCCTTTTCCTGCCAGAGTGGCGTCAGGGAAAGCCAGCTGTGACTCCTGTTTCAAATAAGATTCAGAGTCGTACAACATGGTTCCTAAAATGTTCAGGATTCCATTTTTTTTAAATCGTTTATGATAACAAGAACCAAGAAGCTCTGAAAGTGAATGAAAAGAAGACAATCCATGGTTAACACTGAGGTGACAGAGATGCTAGAATTACCTGACAAAAGACTTCTTAAAGCAACCATCAAAAAATGTTTCGGACGTGCTTGAAATAGAGTCTCATAAAATAAATCAAAAGTCTTAACATATACAAGATGTAAATAAAAACCAAATGAACATTTTAGAACTGAAAAAAATATATAGTGGTTAAAATGTTAAAAGCCCAAAGGATGGGCTTACCAAGAGAATGGAGGGAACAAAGGAAAGAATTAGTAGAACAAAAGAAACTGCCTGATCTGACCAACAGAGAGAAAATAGACTAAAACAGGTGAGCAGAGCCTCGGGGACCTGCGAGGCTGTAACAGGCGTCCTAGCATGGGTGCCACCAAGGGCAGGTGGAAACAGAACTGGAAGTAACAATCGATGGAAACTTCCCACATTTGGCAAAACACATAAACCTAAAACTTCCAGTGCTAAGCAAACCCTAAAAGATAAATCCAAAGAAATCCATACAAAGCCACATTATAGTCAAGTTTCCAAAAACTAATGAGAAGGGAAATATCTTGAAAGCAGAGAAGAGAAACGGCACCTTACCTCCAGGGGAAAACTATTGGAATGACAGTGGATTTCACAGCAGCAACTGTGAAGGGAAGAAAGGAAGCATCACACATTGTTCAGTAATGAAAATTCTCTATCCAGTGAAAATATTTTTCAAGAATGATGGGGAAATAAGACCTTCTTGGAGAACAGAAGTAAGAGAATGTTGTTGCCGGGAGACCTATTGAAAAGAATGACTGAAGGAAATTTTCTAAACAGGAAGGAAGAGAATCAGGGGACTTGGAACATCACAATGGAAGAACGCACTCGGCATGCAAAAGCATAGGCAAATATAATATATTTTATTTTCTTCTCAAATCTTGTAAGTTATGTTTGAGGGTTAAACCAAAAATCATAACTCTGCCTAATGTGGCTCTGAATACATGTAGAGAAAATTTTAAGAAAAGTATATTATATATGAGGGAGGGTAAAGGGATAAAAGGAGAGGTGAGGTTTCTTATACTTTACTCGAACTGATAAATGGCCCACACCAGTGGGCTGTGACAGCTTATATAATACCTAGATAAACCAACTTAAAAAGCTATACAAAGGGATACAACCAAAAATACTATGGTTAAAGCCAAAATAGAATTCTAAAATATTCTCATGGAAGCCACAAGAAGACAGAAAAAATAGCAAACAGAGAAAAAAAAAAAAGAACAAACAGAAAACAAAAATTAAAATGACATTGAAATCCTAACATTTCAATATTTACATTAAATGAAAGTGGTCAAAATACACCAATTAGAAGAGAGAAATTGGCAAAGTATGTTTAAAAACATGATCCAACTATATATTGTCTAAAAGAAACTTACTTCAAATATAATGAAATAAACAGACTAAAAGTAAACAGATGGGAAAAGACATTTCAGACAAGTATCAATCAAAAGAAAGGAGTGGCTGTGTTAATTTCAGACCAAGAATACTTCAGAGCAAAGAAAATTACCAGAGATAGAAAGGAATATTATGTAATAATAAAACAATTCACCAAGAAGACATAGCAATCCTAAATGTGTATGCATCAAACAGCAGAACTGCAAAATTCGTGGAGTTAAAAATTGATAGCACTGACAGGAGAAATAAACAATCTACATTGTAGTTGGCAATTTCATTACCCCTCTCTCAACTGTGATAGAAAAATTAAACATAAAATCAGCAATAATACAAAAAAGTTTAAAATATCACCAAGCAATATAACATATACAATATTTATAGCACATTCTGCCAAACAACAGCAGGATTCACGTTTTTAAGCCAGTCAAATTTAACAGCAGGCGGTTGTACACCAACTTTAGTGACACTAATGTTAATAAGTTCTGATGGCCTGTTACCATCAGACCAACAGAATACGCATCTTTATTATGTGTCCATGGGATATATCGTAATAGGATACATCATGGGCCATAAAACAGATCCCAACAGATTTAAAAGATTGTATTATTCAACCACAATGGAATCAAATTAGAAATCGATAGCAGAAAAATAGCACAAAAATATAGAAACATTTGGAAATGAAATGACACCCTTCTAAATAATTCACGGTTCAAAAGAACATTCTCAAATAAAATAAAAATTTATGCTGAACTGAATAAAAATGAAAATACAACATGTCAAAATTTGTAGGACAAAGCTACTGCCATGCAGAGAGGGAAATTCACAGTATTAGATGCTTACATTAGAAAAGATGAAGGGTCTCAAATCAGTAATCTAAGCCTACATCTCAAGCCCCGTGATAAAGAAGAGCAAAATAAATGAAAGCAAGCAGAAGGTAGAAAGGTAACAATAAAGATAAGAGCAGAAATTAATGAAATTGAAAACAGAAAACAGAGAAAACTAATGAAGCAAAGAGTTTGTTCTTTGAAGAGATCAATAAAATTGACAAACTTCCTAAAAGATTGGCAAAGAGAAATGAGAGAAGACACAAATTACCAATATCAGGAATATCACAAAAAATCTTGCAGACTTCAAAAAATAATAAAGGAATAAAACAAAGAAAGCTCCACAAGATACATTTGAAATCTTAAACAAAATGGACCAGTTCCTCAAAAAACACAAACTACCACAGCTCACCCAATATGAAATAGATCATTTGCATAGCTCTGTGTTTAGAAAATTGAATTTCTACTTTAAAAAACTACCCCCCACGGCCGGGCGCGGTGGCTCACGCCTGTAATCCCAGCACTTTGGGAGGCCGAGGCGGGTGGATCACAAGGTCAGGAGATCGAGACCACGGTGAAACCCCGTTTCTACTAAAAATACAAAAAATTAGCTGGGCGCGGTGGCGGGCACCTGTAGTCCCAGCTACTCAGGAGGCTGAGGCAGGAGGATGGCGTGAACCCGGGAGGCGGAGCTTGCAGTGAGCCGAGGTTGCGCCACTGCACTCCAGCCTGGGCGACAGGGCGAGACTCTGTCTCAAAAAACAAAAAAAAAAAAAACAAAAAAAAAACTACCCCCCACAAAACCAAATAAATAAATAAATCTCCAGATCCAGGAATTGCATTACTGGGCATTTATCTCAGAAAAGTATAGTAAAGGGAGAAGTATAGAATAATCCACTGAAATTTTAAGTTCACACAAAAACGCATCCACAAATGTTTACTGCAATTTTGTTTGTAAAAGTCCCAAACTGGAAACAAGCCAGATGTCCTTCAGCAGGTGAATGGATAGGCAGGCTGTGGTGCATCCGTTCATACCATGGAATACTTCTCAGCAATAAGAAGGAATAAACTATTGATAACAAGGAAGAACCTGGATGAATCTCCAGAGAATTATGCTCCGGAAGAAAGCCAATCTCAAAAGGTTATGCATTATACTATCTCATTTATAGAATTCTCAAAATGACAAAATTATGGAACTGGAGAACAGATTAGTGGTTGCCAGTGATCAGGTATGAGGCTGGGGATGGAAGTAGGCATGGGCCTAAAAGGGAAACCTGAGGGATCCGGTGGGATGGAAATGACTGTATCAATGTCGATATCCTGGCTGTAACATTGTACTATGGTCTTTCAAGCTGTTACCACTGGGGGAAACTGGGTAAAGAATATGCGTGATTTCCCTGTATTCTTTTTTTCCAACCATATATGAACCTACAATCAT